GGTGAATCCACTTCCACATTTTCCAGCCACTAGTGTCACGTGATGCGACACACCCATGATGTGGTGAATCCACTTCCACATTTTCCAGCCACTAGTGTCACGTGATGCGACACACCCGTGATGTGGTGAATCCACTTCCACATTTTCCAGCCACTAGTGTTACGTGACACACCCATGATGAAGAGGTCTAATGTACTCGTGACAAGATGATTTGACACAACTTTATCCAACATGTTTTAACTAGATACGAGGGTATCTAAGGGGACAGTATGACCGAACGGTAAAGCGTTTGACTGTTAGCTAGATGGTTTCAAGTTCGGAGTAGAGACTGCGTCCACCCAGCTCTGATGGGTACCTGACTCACGTAAGGGAAACAAAGGTGGCTGGGCATATGTTGAGAGTAAAAAAACTAGCATAGTATAATTCCCAAGCAGCGCACAAACAGCGAAGATACTGTATTTAACAAAGGCAGCTCAGCATAATGCTGACCACATCATCTCTTCGTAAGCCGAGGTCATTGAAACAGATGAACTCTACATCATCTACCCGTGTGTCTTGGATACAAACGGGAAAAGATGATGATGGTAGTATTTATTGTTGTAATGTGAAGATGTTAGTTAAAGATGGGTAGTTACTCACGTTAGACCCTTAAAATGTGTATGAGAAAAAGCAAATAACATATGTCTTGCTGATGAGTAAACCAGTGTAGGATATAGGTGTTTGTAAAATCTACCTTATACTTTTATTGTATGCATAATATGAAAATATGTTTGATGTTAACTGTTATGTCAATTATTTTATGGTTCCATCACTGGTTGGTATTTTATGGGGGACATCTGTAGATTGACAAACATTAGTGGTGCGGTGTGTAGAAGTGACGTTTTACGAGCTGAATTGGTGAAACTTCAAATGAAAGTCATGAATGAATGAAAACTCATATTCATATCAAAACAGAATGGCGTTGTGACCACATAGGAATGTGGTTTTTCAGAACTGACGGGGTGGGGGTGTGGGGGGGGGGGGGCAGAGAGAGTAGCGTTTGTTCTCGTTTCTTGGTCTCAACACATGAAGATTTGTAGGCTCAGCACAATACCAGAAGTCAGGTATTGGAATCATGTATCCATGTGGTAATCATGTATCCATATGGGAATCATGTATCCATATGGGAATCATGTATCCATATAGGAATCATGTATCCATGTGGTAATCATGTATCCATATGGGAATCATGTATCCATATGGGAATCATGTATCCATGTGGTAATCATGTATCCATATGGGAATCATGTATCCATGTGGTAATCATGTATCCATATGGGAATCATGTATCCATATAGGAATCATGTATCCATGTGGGAATCATGTATCCATGTGGGAATCATGTATCCATATGGGAATCATGTATCCATATAGGAATCATGTATCCATGTGGGAATCATGTATCCATGTGGAAATCATGTATCCATATGGGAATCATGTATCCATATGGGAATCATGTATCCATGTGGGAATCATGTATCCATATGGGAATCATGTATCCGTGTGGGAATCATGTATCCATATGGGAATCATGTGTCCATGTGGGAATCATGTATCCATATGGGAATCATGTATCCATGTGGGAATCATGTATCCATGTGGTGTGCTCTAAAAAATCTACCACGCCCTTCCCTGTGGTTCTAGTCATCTTGTGCAGTGGAAGCAATTAGAAACAAAACAATTGGCAACTAGGAGCAACGTCGCCTCCCGCACCACAAAGACCAAAAGCTCGAGTACAGTGGCAGCAAGTAAAACTAAACTAGCCAACAACAACAACATCACCTACCACGCCACAAAGACCACCAGCAACGTAAGACTAAACTAACCACCACCACCAACATCATCCAACCACAGCACAAAGTACACCAGCAGCACGTAAAACTAAACTACCCACTACCACCACCCCCCCCACACTACAAAGACCATCAGCAACACTTAAAACGAAACTGCCCACCACCACCAAAATCACCCACCACACTACAAAGACCTCCACCAACACTTAAAACTACCCACCACGTCAACAATATTTCCATCCCCACCCCAGCGGACTATAACCGCCCCCCCCCACCCGACCCTCACTACAAACAAAGCGTCGAGGCGTCACAATTGCTAATCCCTGACTCAGGACTCTCCATAACAAAACCCGAGAGTCCGGAACTCACGACGCTGATTAACATAATTAATGACATCACCACGCAATGCGGTTAACCTCCATTATTTTAACCCGCATCTTTTTAACCCAGTTAAAACCCCCTAGCCCACAACAGCTACACCATGCCATAACCTCCCTCTAGAAAGATCTCATTTCATTTAAAGGACATTATGCTAAAAAAAAACTCACTCTCCAACTAACATATGTAAACAACAAAACAACAGATCCAGTTTACAGATACACACGAAGATACTATTAAATAAACGCATTGAATACTATTACCTCCGTCTGGCTAAGAATTATCCTCCTCCCCCCTCTCCCCCACCCCCTACTGGCCCTTCTCTCGTGGTAGCCCATCAAATTTATCAGAATTACTATTCGTTTTATTGGAAAGAGGCTTAAAGCTTAACAAATATTAATAACTTCTGCTCCGCTGCTATTGATTATGCCCCCCAGCGAAGGGTTGTACAATGTTATAAATTTCAGAACAAACATTCACATTTTTTGGCAGAAAGGCCATGGGGGGTAAGTCCTGGGGCGTGTGAATACAGGGGGGAGGGCGTGTGCTGGAGATCCCGACGGTCGATAGGATATCTGAATATTGTGGTCAAGTTATTTTTTTTTAGTTTTTATTTTTTAAAGGGGAGACTATGCCCGGGAAGAATATGGTAAAAATTATTCTGTTTCAGGCTTACCGTTCTTTGATCTCATGTTCAAATAACACAGGGCACGGGCCAGGCAATAAAACATATGGGGGTGGGAGAGGGAAGGGTGTGTGCGTGTGTTCATTACGTCATCGTGGGAGGGTGGGGGGGGGGGGAATCTAAGAACGTCCCTTTGCCCCATCCCTACTTATACATGCGAACAGAAATATTTAAAATGTAAACTATTTCAACGAAAAATAGAAAATAAAAAGAATATCAGGCACTGTGTAGAAGAGTGGTTTGGGGGTTCCAATAAGCTTATGCTGAGTTGGTTTTTTTTTTTTTTTTACATTACTGCAGTGTTTCTTTCAGACATCTCTCTCTGTGTGGGGGGGGGGGGGTATCTCGAGAATTTCCCAAGACGAAATTGAAATACATTAAATTTAAAAAGAAAATATATTCTTTAACCATTCTTATAATCTCCCCCCCCCCCCCCCACCCCAAGCAAAATATTTAACATACCCCCCCCCCCCGCCCTTCTATGAAGCTGTTAGCATTTCAAAGACAACCGTGCAGTAGCGCTACAGGGCCTTCGCCGACTTGCATTAATATTTTGGTCATTTGTCCAGGAAACAAAACAAAAAAGTCACGGCAAACAAAAAATAAAAAAAGAAGCGAATGTTTCTTGAAATAATATCACAACATGGTGAGACTGGGACGGTCATACGCTTGTGATACAGACTAACCCTAACCGCTAACCCTAACCTCAAAACTAGATCAGCCTAATCAAATCACTCTGGTCTAGAAACTTACCCTAAAGAATCTACACCATTTTACTCTGGTGTAGAAACTAATCCTAACCCAAAACTCATACAAGCCCCAACAAAATAGCGGAACGTGATTAATCTATCAAATATATTTTTTTAATGTAAAAAATCTAATTTGATTTTTTAAATTATTTTTTTTGCTACTGATTGATATGTGACACCATATAAAAATAGATCAAAGGAATTTACAATCAACGGATAATTTAAATTAACACGTGTATTTTTTTTTTAAAACTTGAAGCCTTGTCAAGATAGGAATTCGATCCCCGAACCTGAACTTATCGATTCCGTGCTCTAGCGCATGACCACGCCGTCAGTAAAGATAATGACACAAACACTCATCCAACAGGGCAGGATGTTTTTTTTTTCCTTCTAATCTAACTTCTCTATGTACAGTTAGCTGGGATAGCTAAGTATACTCACGCTTACTGTTAAGTTGGTTAGTAAAATAAAACTAATAACGAATTTAAATGAAAACAAAGCTAGACGAAGAAGGCGTTAGATATTAACATTACCTCCCCTTACACCCCCCCCCCCTCTACACACTAACAAAGATGAAAACAAGGGAGATACTAGATAATGGGAGAAAAGGGACGCAACCGGATCTACGGGAGAGGGACGGTGTCGGTGGACGAATACATCAACTCTACACTCCACGCTGGGATAGGAGGGACTACGCAGATCGCGACAACTCTTGATGATTTAACTTTTGTCACTTTAGAGTTATCAAAACATGACTTTTTTTTTTTAAACGCAGAAATAATTTAATTGAACGATTAAGAAATCAATGCGCTACGTTATAATGCTGCTTACAATTGATTTTTTTTTTTTAATTTGAAAGGTTCCATGTACAGAAATAGAATAAAAATTGCCTGAGCAATATATCTTATGCTATCGTTTATGTCCCACATATTATACCTACCTACCTACCTACCTACCTACCTACCTACCTACCTACCGAACTATCTATCTACCGATCTATCTATCTATCTATCTATCTATCTATCTATCTATCTATCTATCTATCTATCTATCTATCTATCTATCTATCTATCTATCTATCTATCTATCTATCTATCTATCATATATCTATCATCTCTCTCTCTCTCTCTCTCTCTCTCTCTCTATATATATATATATATATATATATATATATATATATACATACAAATATATAGTTAGATAGAAATATACATGTATGCATATACAAATAAATATGATTTTATTAATAGATATATGTATATATTAACACGAATATATATATATTATATAGTGTTATGGAACATAGCCATGAAGACACCCTGGCGGGGGTTGTGATGAAGTGAATGTGAACTGTACCTTGAGCAGATCCGGCAGCGCCCTATGCAGGCTGGCACCACGTACGGCACGGAACATCTCCCGGATCATGGCCGGACGGTCCTTGATGTAGGCACTGATTGGCTTCAGCTCTTTCTTCAGGTCAAGGTCGGAGTCCTCATCCTCGGGCAGGACGATCTTCTTACCTGTCTGGGTACAGCGAGAACCTGGTCACACAGGCACTGACGGTAGTCAGGATGGTGTCAGGACAGTATCAGGACAGTATCATGAGAGTGTCAGGACAGTATCAGGACAGTATCAGGAGAGTGTCAGGACAGTATCAGGACAGTATCAGGACAGTATCAAGAGAGAATCAGGACAGTATCAGGAAAGTATCAAGAGAATATCAGGACAGTATCAGGACAGTATCAAGAGAGAATCAGGACAGTATCAGGAAAGTATCAAGAGAGAATCAGGACAGTATCAGGAAAGTATCAAGAGAGTGTCAGGACAATATCAAGAGTATAAGGGAGTGTCAAGAGAGTATCAGGACAGTATCAGGACATTATCAGGACAATATCAAGACAATATCAAGAGAGTATCAGGACAGTATCAGGACAGTATCAAGAGAGAATCAGGACAGTATCAGGAAAGTATCAAGAGAGAATCAGGACAGTATCAGGAAAGTATCAAGAGAGTGTCAGGACAATATCAAGAGTATAAGGGAGTGTCAAGAGAGTATCAGGACAGTATCAGGACATTATCAGGACAATATCAAGACAATATCAAGAGAGTATCAGGAAAGTATCAGGACAATATCAAGAGAGTATCAGGAAAGTATCAGGACAATATCAAGAGAGTATCAGGAAAGTATCAGGACACCATCAGGACATTATCAAGGGAGTGTCAAGACAGTATCAACAGAATATCAGGAATGTATCAGGACAGAATCAGAAGAGTGTCAAGATAGTATCAAGACAGTATCAGTCCATGCATCTGGACTATAAAAAACAGACATTTCCTGTTTAACACAAAGCAACAAAAAAAATGCATCTAAGTGCGTAAAATTTGTAACATTAACCTAACCCTAACACCTAACCCTAGATCTATCCCTTAGAGAACTTTCGGGTTCAACAGAAACATTCAACTTTTTAAAAAGTTGTACAAATTAGTATACATGTATTTATTACTCAAATAATATCACATGGTCGCCTAAAAAAATATGAGAACAACCCGTGATTTGGTATATAGTGATGGTTATCACCAAAAGGTTAGCAAAGAAAACATTCTACTCTATGCAGTAGACAGGTACAATAGACAGTGACACTGTCTTAACTTGTCGTTTACATACATAGCATGAAGCCAATGTTCTTCTTACTTTAAGTCCTAACCCCAGACCAAGAGCTAACCCAAAATCTAACCTTAACCCTTAAATAAAAAAAAAGAATGCACGCTCTAAAACCTTCTTTAATTTCTTCTTCTTTTTCTTCCCATCCAAGCAGTCAGCGGGTTCGGACTGGGTCGAGTCGGCTACCATTTTAGCAGCGCTCATTCTCTGGGGCCGTGGGTAGGCAAGCCGGTATGTTATCTTTTGTCACTTCAGCGCTGTCGCATCATTCACATTCTTGTTTATAGGTTTGCTCTGGGAATTAAAACAGAAACACACGAGTGAAGATGGTTGAACTAAAGAAATAGTGTTTGGACAAAAAAAAAGAGAATCATTAAGCTGCGACAGCATAACATAATATTTTAAGATAACAACTGTGTTAGGACTCATCTGATGCGTCCGTGTCCACGCTATCCACTGGGTCCACTAACTTTATTTGACAAACTTGTCATTGTCCACTTATTACTGACCACTGAGTCTACTAATTTACATTTGATAAATTAGTCATTATCCACTTATTACTTACCACTGGATAAACTTGCTATTATCCACTTACTAACTGACCAGTGGAAAAACTTGCTATTATCCACTTACTAACTGACCAGTGGAAAAACTTGCTATTATCCACTTACTAACTGACCAGTGGAAAAACTTGCTATTATCCACTTACTAACTGACCAGTGGAAAAACTTGCTATTATCCACTTACTAACTGACCAGTGGAAAAACTTGCCATTATCCACTTATTACTGACTACTGGGTCTACTAACTTTATTTGATAAACTTGCCGTTGCCCATTTATTACTGACCAGTGGATAAACTTGTCTTAGTCCACTCAGAGGCGTAGCGACCCTTCCCGGCGCCCGGGGACAAACTTTTCGATTTGCACCCCCCCCTCAATATTTCGGTTAGCACCCCCCCCCCCCCCCGAAGATTTCGATTTGCACCCCTCCCCTCGAAATTTTAATTTGCACCCCCCTCAACCTTTCAATTTATTTTTCCATCCCATTTTGGCGCCCCTAAGGTCAGCGCCCGGGGACATATGTCCGTCCCCCCTCCCCCTCCCCTCGCTACGCTACTGAGTCCACTTATCACTGACACGTGTGTACTGTGTTCATACCGTTTGATAAAGTACACACGCACGATGAAGCAGTCGCATGTTTCCCCTTTGATTTATTACCCCAAACACGTGTGTCAATCAGCACCCTCTCAGGGCGCGAGTGGGGCGGCACTTTAATTGCTCTATAAATGTTAACAGAGGGGCGTCACTACCCGCGCCCCGCCGCCCCCCCCCCCCCCCCCCCCTAGCGCTGAGATATATAGCTACGCCGCTGTCACCCTACTCGATGACTGAGGTAATTATAACTCCAAATTTCTCCGCCATTCGGTCCGCAAACCGCTGAATACCGCGCATACGTCGGGGAGGTTAAGTCTAAAGTAGATCCCGAGTCACGTGGATGTTTTGTACATAAAGGTTTTTTTTTTATTTATTTATTTTTTTTTTTTTTTTTTTTTTTTTGTACACATGAACTATAGTTTTAAGTAACTTGGTGTTTTTTTATGATTTCTATTTCGTATGTTTATATTTTCTCTTTTCTTTATTTTTATTTTTGGTGTCATCCTATCTCTCTCTTACTCTCTGTTGACGTGGGGAGAGGTAAACATCATTAGACCAAATTAACATTGCAACTAATAAAGAATCATCATCTCAAGATGGGAGAAAATCCACTATATCAAATACATAGCCATATGATATATTAAAAAACATTTGAGTTCAGACCGAAGACTAATTAAACAAGATAGCCTTCACAGATATGAATCGGCATTACAACGATATAACCATATGCTATATTACCAAAAGATATATAAAAAGCACATTAAATATATAGCCACTTATATAGTAAAAATGTTAGACGGCAGACTCACCGCTAATTAAGCAATATAAACAATATATAAAGTATTATGTAAATTACATATCCATATGATAAAATCCCTAATTACATAACACAATAATCAGTCGAAAAATAACATAACCATATGATGTATACAAAAACATAACATAACAAGCTTATGATACATCAAAAACAGCAAATTACATAAGCTTATGATATACAAAACTGTGGAAACTGTGTTATCCAATTTTTAATTAAAAAAACATTTAAAAGGGTTATACTAATTGCACGCTATGTTTCAAAACAAATCAATATATCTGAACCCAAACAAGATCAACAAATGCATGTTTTTAGGCTAGGGATCAGTGAAAAGTCAGTGATGAAACATGATTACACCCTCGGTTAAATACCCCTAACTGATGTACCTTTCACATCGTTACAGATGTTTAGACATATTATCATTGTTTAGACATTTTAAAAAGTAAAAAAAAAAAACCCCAAGGTTTAAACGATTTATAGGGTATCTGATTCTAACTAGGGTGCAATCCTTAAGGCAAAAAGACAGGCCTCTGATCCTTCAGTAGGCCAAATAAGCTTGCAGGATCTCCGCGGGAGGCTGGAGTTATGGGTCCTGCTTTACACATCAGTCACGCCGTTTTTTTTTTAATATGGGTTTCAAAATATCGCAAAACAAAGGGCGGTAACCCACACTGCAATTGATGGGTGGATCCAGTTATCTGAGTGGAGTCTCGAAAACAACATTAGTAAAATAGAACCAGCGTCGCACTGCATCGCTTGGGTAAGCCAGCAGCTGATGTACACCGAGCATCATGAGGAAGATCATGTGACCAGGTAGCTAGCGATGCCATGGGGGGAGGGAAGGGGAGGGAAGGGGAGGGAAGCATTTGAAGAACGATAACTTTGGACAGCTCCAAGTTAAAAAAGGGAAAAAAAACGTGAAAGCCCGCTTGTATACATGAGAAGAGATTTGTCTGGTTATGTTGAAGCGAGAACGAGGCGATGAACCGCGGCGGGATGTTGTGATGTATATTTTGTAGCGGGGGCTTAGGTAAATCGTTACCCCCACAACGGCGGGGTGGGTGGGTGGGGGTGGGGAGAGGGGGGGGGGAGGAAAGGGTTGCGTGTGCGGCTAACAATGGCTGCATGAGTGAACATACCACGCGCTTTTGGTGACGAGTACCACATTTCATTCAACTCAACGTTCCTTGATAAGGGGGTGGGTGGTGGTGGGGTGTTAGGAAAGGGGGGGGGGTATATTATGTTATATGAAACAAAAAAATTGTTACATGAGGAAAATGTATCTCCCCCCCCCCCCCCATTCCACCCCATTTCCCGAAAGAAAGAAAAAAAACCCAGCTAAAGTGGAGGCAGCCTTAGTTAGAGTGAGAAAAGGATCGTGTCACAAAGAGAGGGTAATATGTGATTTATGCTTCATTCAACAAAAAATGTAATGGCTCGACATAAGGCATTGTTGAATACAAAAACATTCCCACACTAAAATATTAGTCGGACAGATTTAAATAGACATTTCGTTAACTCTAAACCGCTCTATGGAACAAACAACATTATTGCTAACAAGAAGAAAAAAAAAACATAGGAGGGGAAACCCCCCAAAACTAGATCTAGATCTTGACAAAAAATCTTTCTTCTTCGCTCATTTGTCAGCGATAAACAATGTCGTTAACCAGAGGCGCACTCAGTGGGTACGGGTGGACTCAGGGGGTAGGGGAGGACTGAGGGGGTAGTGGTAGACTCAGGGGGTAGGGGTGGAGTGAGGGGGTAGGGGGTGGACTCAGTGGGTAGGGGGTGGACTAATGGGGTAGGGGTGGACTCAGTGGGTAGGGGTGGACAGGGGGGTAGGGGTGGACTCAAGGGGTAGGGGTGGACTCAAGGGGTAGGGGTGGACTCAAGGGGTAGGGGTGGACTCATGGGGTAGGGGTGGACTAATGGGGTAGGGTGGTCAGGGAGTAGGGGTGGACTCAGTGGGTAGGGGTGGACTCAGGGGGTAGGGTGGACTCAGGGGGTAGGGGTGGACTCAGGGGGTAGGGGTGGACTCAGGGGGTAGGGGTGGACTCAAGGGGTAGGGGTGGACTCAGTGGGTAGGGGTGGACAGGGGGTAGGGGTGGACTCAAGGGGTAGGGGTGGACTCAGGGGGTAGGGGTGGACTAATGGGGTAGGGTGGTCAGGGAGTAGGGGTGGACTCAGTGGGTAGGGGTGGACTCAAGGGGTAGGGGTGGACTCAGGGGGTAGGGGTGGACAGGGGGTAGGGGGTGGACTCAAGGGGTAGGGGTGGACTAATGGGATAGGGGCTAACTCAGTGCGTAGGGCGTGTGTGGTAGATATACTTTAAGTTGTGCACAAAGTAATGGAAAATTTTAATTTAAAGTTAGAGAATATCTCACATGAAGGACATAATTTATGTCACATACAGATGAAGAGAAAGATGAAATATAAGGTCATAATGTTAAATAAACTTGCCAAGTAATGATTCAAACAAATTTCATGTAAAAAAATGTATACGGGCACATTTATTTATAAACTATTCGATAAACTTGACTGTGGACAAAACATATCTCTACAATCCTATAATTGCTATAGTGTCACCATTTTATTGCACTCTTTTATTATAATCTTTTATTTAACTCTTGGTATGTGTATCAACTATCTAATTATTCCCAAACATCGTGATATCTGTGGCAATCAGCGATACAACACATTGAATGAGACAACTAGGCTGTTAACCCTTTAATCATCAATTCCCAAATGTCCCAATTTCTAAGAAAAGGGCGAAGTGCCCCCCCCCCCCCCATAATGTTATTTGTTTCAAGCGACTAGTGTGTCCTGCAGATGTTCAATCGACGAACCAGATGCAACTTTTTTAATATCACAAAAATTCTGAGGGGTGTCACAGAACTTGGGGGGGGGGGGGGGGGGGGGTGGTGAGGGGGTGGGGGTGGTGTCTTGATTTTTATTTGTGAAAATATTAGCATACTTCTTTAACCGCGCGAGCGCTCTCCCGCGGCACCAAGAGTTAATTAGTTAAACACGGATCACAAGCTGCGGTTCAGATCATCTCAGGATACACGAGACGGCAGACGATGCATTCTATCGTCCCCTACATGGGCCATTACTGGGGGTCATCCACCGGTTGCTACTCAGTTGGGGGGGGGGGGGGGGGGGGGCTCACACGGGCCATAACATGGGCCATCCCGTTTGGGCCGTTGACAGTACGCCGGCCGTTAAACATTTGTTAGCAAGTTAACCCTGCATGTAGGATACGTAGAAAATACTTTTTTTGTGTGTTTACGGCTTAATTTACATTAATGAATATTTAAGTTTGTAA